AGAGAGAGAGAGAGAGAGAGAGAGAGAGAGAGAGAGACTGTGCACTCATGTGCTAAGACACATGGCAAATTTATTATCTGCCTTTGGGGCAAAATCATGGCTTTATCCATCATGCAATGCGCTCTTCACTCTCATAAAACAAGCCCATTCCTGTTCACAACTTTTCTTACTGGAAATGTTTACAAAGGCCACAGAGATTGTAAACAACACCTTCAAGTCAACACCTTTGATTCACTTTCAAGGTGACATCCTCCTTTCTACTAAATTACTCTTCTAACAAGAGCCTTGAGGAGAAGGATGCAATTGTGAGGATAGGAGAGATTTTACAGGAGGAATCCAATTTTTGGATGATAAACCTGTATCTTGTACCAGGGAAGCTTCTCTAGAAAAACAAATAACTTTTGCTTGTAGATAATTCAGTCATTTGAAAAATAGATAAATGAATTTGTGACAGGTATGTAAATCACTTGATAACTTACTAGACTGATGCAAATAGTGTGAATGTCATGCATTGTCCAGATAAGTTGTTAGACTGTAATTAGAAGACTTAACAGTTAAGAAGTCTTAATATGAAGAAATGAAAAGCCTGCCCCAATGAAAAACCAAAAAGGAATAAAACATGCATTCTGTCTTGTCAGAAGATGTGTTAAGATGACACACAGAGAATCTGATCGCCATACAACAAATATTAAGGGAATCACTAAGAATTTTGAAATATATATTTGATGTGCAGTCCTTGATGCCCCCTGAGCTTGCAGGCATTTCATTACCCAAAGAGATAACATCAACAGTGCTTATGTGTGTGGGGCTTGTTCATTTGTATATAGAAGCATGTCCTGATGGTATCGATAGAGGTGTGATTTTCTTGATGATTGATTATATATAGGGTATTCAAAATATATAAATGGAAAACCAATAAAAGTAGCGGTTGTGTCATTATATGACACAACCACTTCACACTCAAAGACAGTATGAAGCCTGCAGGGAAACTGAATGAATTATTTCTATCCATCTTTAGTATGGAAGGTATTGGATAGAGGCCTAAGCTTATATTGACTTTTAGAAGCAAGGAGACTGGAAGAACAAAAGTAAACTAAGGTAATATAGTTACCTGAATTCTAAGTCATTTTGAGAGAATACAAATAACAAACCATCAGATCCTGATAGAATCCATCCAAGAATTAAATAACTCAAAAGTGCTGACTTCCTAATAAAAATTAATTACTTGGTCCTCAAACTGGGATCAAGCAGCAAAAGGATTGGAATGTAGCCAATTGATACCAAAGAGGATCGGGGAAAATTATAGGGCCAGTAAACTTAATATCTGTTCCAGGGTGATTAGTAGATATGGTAACTTAATTAAAACATACACAAATACGAACTTATAAAACAAGAATTAAGGTAAATCAACATGAATTCTGATCAAGTAAATCCTATCTCACTAGCCTTATATTGTAGACTTAAGAGCACTAAGAGGCATGTGGATGGAACTGTTAATAATGTATCTCTTTTTTAAAAATAACATCTTGGACAAAGTTGTTCTTTAAAAATGCTCAATTAAATTAGCAGTCATGGGACAAGAGAACTCAAATATATTATAGATTGTTAACTTTTTTAAAAAGTGAAAAGTAAAGAGAAGTTAAATAACTTGTTCATAAACCATCTTGAAATATAGATAAACATGAGCTAGCAAATTTAGGGATGATAGTAAAAACAGAATGGAAGATTAAGCACTTATTTAATCTATGTAGTTAATTCCCACAGTACATGTGGGAGATCCCTGTTGCATGGTTTAAACAAGTGATGAACAAATTCATGGAACACAGAGACTATTAATTTTGAAAACTTAGTATTATATCTATATTTGGGGAAGATGTCTTCAAACACCAATTGTAATAATGGCAGAAAATAGGCATTTTTGGTCCAGAAGAATATGGTCAGCAATGTGAGTAATACAATGCTGAACTATGATGGTACTTGCTCAATTTATATTCTCATATTCATCAAAAGTAAATTGGATGAGCAGAAGTGTACCGTCGCTTTGTGTTTCAATTGGTCTCAATAGTGTTCTTTCAAATCATAACTTTTTGCAACTACCCCAACATTCCGTGACGCATTATTTCTTTTTTTTAAAAAATCAGCAAAATCAGCACAAGCATGAAACCTCATGAAATAATAGAGTGATGTGCATAACTTGTTCAAGTTGCACAAGTTGAAAAAAGGGTTTTCTGCAACTAGAACAATATTTGTATCACTAGAAACAATTTATTGCTTCTTAAGCAATTATAACATGGTTAATATTTCATAAGAAATAATACCTGTACATATTCATCTAGAAATTGAATATATGAATAATGTTTGACAGATTTAGTAGATCAACTCTGCATATCAAAAACAATCTCCCACTGTAATTTGAGGTAAAACCTCATGCCATCTAGCTTTATTACATAAGCCTTTGAATATTTACCTTTAAGAGAAATTCTTGCAGTTCCTGGTGTGTTTTTGTTACAGAGGATACAGAATGATCAGACCAGATTACCTGAATGAAAAAAGGAAAAAGAAACCTTAAGAGTTCTGTTTCTTTAAAACTAAGATACAGATAGTCCTCAACTTATGACAATTGAGCCCAAAATTCCCATTGCTAAGCAAAGCAGTTATTAAGTCAGTTTGCCCATTTTATGATATAACTTGCCACAGCTGTTAAGTGACTCACTGCAGTTGATCATGTTAGTAAACACAGTTAAGTAGATCTGGCTTCCCCACTGACTTTGCTTGTCAGAAGGTCACAAAAGGTGATCCACACAGCCCAGAATACTGCAATAGTTATAAATACATGCCAGTTGGCAAGCATCCACGTTTTGATCTCGCGACCACAGGGATGATGCAACAGTCGTAAATGTTAAAAATGATCATGTCACATTTTTCAGTGCTGTTGTAACTTCAAATGGTCATTAAGCAAACGCTTGTAAGTTGAGGACTGCATTTCATACTCAAACACCAGGTAACCAAGACAGATTTTAGAAACAAAAAAAAACAAGAAAAATTAAGAAACCCTCTACTGGTTCCAATCCAGCAGTCGTAACACCAAGTGACCAGTCTGATATATTAAAGAAGTTCACAGCTATGGATAGCCTCTCTTTGCTGCTGATCTCAAGCAGCTGTGCTAATTTCAGAGGTTATTGTTAATCTTGGGCCATACTTCCAGGGTGGTTGTTAGCAACATTTGAGATCCCCATGAGTTTATTTAATTTCCCTTTAGAATTTATCTAAACTAGTGATCATCGCTACATGTAAAAATTCCACAGCTTATCCATTTCTCTTTTACTTCATTCCATCATGTCCTATTCTTGAACACTGCCTGAGCAAGTCAATGCAGTTTTCTGGGCAAGTGGTTTTTCACTAGTGGTTTGCCATTGCTCCCTTCCTAGGGCTGAGAGAAAGCGACTGGTTCAAAATCACCCATCTGACTTTGAGCCTAAGGTGGGAACTTGTGGTTTCCTGATTTTTAGCTTGATGCTTGAATCATTACACCAAAATGACCCTCCATTCATTATTTGCTGACCCTAAATCTCCCCACATTTAATCTTAATTGTTAAACTTAACTTTTAATATTACAAGAACAAACCAACTTTTGGACCCTTATGAACCTAAAACACAGATAAATGTCTTTGTTTCGTTCACAATTTTTCCTATTATTCGTATTCAATGTCATTATTCTGGGATAGATAAATTTGTTTTATTTCTTTTCCCGGCTATGTGGAAAGAAAAGTGAGGAGCATGAAAGTCCAGCATTTTAACAGGCTCTTTTTTAATCATGGTGCTAAACTATGATTTACCATTATGAATAATGCATGCGTGAGTCAATTTTTTAGATCTTGTGTAATTTTAAATTACCGAGATATGACCTTCAGATAGATAACTTACTTTGAAAGTATACTCCAAATGTTTATCAGATCTTTTCCTAGGGACTCCTTTCAGCATTATTTTCTGAATGTGTACAGCTGGAAATAAAGAAACAAGACAGAATTCAGTAATTCAGTGCTGTTTAAAATTTAATAGATTTTTGTCACTTATTTGGCCATCGTGTCACTATTACTGGAAATTTAATTTTTTAATAGAATTGCAAGAAATCAATGGAATGTCAGTTTGCTTTTACACTTTGTTTTATAATACATTAATTATACCTTAATTATAATCCATAATAATTATCCTTAATTATGGATTATAAGAAATTGTGACACTGCACTGAGGGTTCCCGCCCTCTCACTATCAGCCATTCTGTGATTACTTTGAACAGTCCAAGTGTCTGAAACAAATCTGAGCATGTGAAATGAAAGACTTCTCATATAAGACTGGATATAGCATAGAACTCTGTTACCAAAAATATGTTGTTCCTGAAATAGTTAACATAGATTCAACAATACAAACAAATACAAAGTGCATAAATTATGCTTCTACCTCTGGCCTCCAAAAGGCTTAATGGAATGCTTAATGATCAATAGTTATTATTGAATGTTCTCACAATTTCATCAGGTACAAAGATTGGAGGAAACTACAAGTTTATCAGGCATTAGCTAAATACTTATCACAGCTAGTTTGTAATAAAATGATAAATGATTTTCCCAGAAGTCAAGCTTGTCAAGATATAAATATATCAACAAACCTTCTTGCTGTGGTCTGTGAGTGGCCACCATAAGTTTATCATGAACTCCTGCCCTTTGTTCAAGTAAACTGCTCTCACTTGTTGGCATGCAGTTATGGGAAAAGTTCTAAATTGAAGGAAACAAAAATCAGTGTTACATATAAATGTCATCACTTTTAGAAATACAGAGAATCAAAATTCATTAATTCAAAAGTATACTGCAATCTTAAAAGTTTCAGGTATTTTACACTCCCTACTTGCATTCCACAAAATTAAGGTGTTCTAGAGCAGGGGTGTCAAACTCATGGCAGTGTCACGTGATGCATTCGGGACGTTTTCTCCCTTCACTAAACTGGGTGTGGGCATGGCTAGCACATGATGCAACTGGCCCTCTTTTTAATTTTTTCTGCACTTTCTTTTTTTAAAATACAAGTAGCATTAGTTTTACCTTTTTAATTATACTTTTAATAAAATTATATAAAAGCACTTCCAAAAGACAAAAGAATCAACAATTACAGCCCCTTCCCCTATTTCTGTTTTCATAGCTCCAATCTTTAGCAGCCCAGGGATCTATTATCAGGTCTGGCATGGTTTGTAAAAGATTTACCTGTTTGATACATTAAGGGAGAAAGGCCTGACAAGGTCATGCAAAAGGCAAAAGGCACTGAAAATTAGCAGCCAGGGACCAGGTGGTGAAGGGACATGCTCACAACCCCAAATAACCAAGTGAAGTTGGGTGGTCCCATCTCTAAGTTTATTGTGATAGGAAGTGCTGAAGGTGGCATTATTAACCCTCAGTACAGGTGCTGAGACATCTCCAGATTTAAGGCCGTGGGGAAAGAGCTCTCCAACCAGCTTTGACCAATGGATTATCTTATTAAATACTGCAACCTAATCCTGCTTGCGCATTACTTTACAAACAGGTAAAATCAAAACCACACGAGTCTTTAGAAAAGAATGAGAAACAGCCTTCGGTTGACAATACTACTCAACTGGCCTTCTCCAAACAAGCTTCCTCTGCATAGGACTTATTACAATTCCTCAGATAGCCTTGCTTTTTAACCAAGCTGTGTTATCAGAGTAAAAGTGTGCTTGTGCCTTAATTACAGCAGGTCGAAGCAGCGCAAAGATGCTTTCCGAAAGAGCTCTCATTCGGGAGTAAGGATTAAACAAGAGAAGGGCTATCCCAAAGGTGCTTTTTTTCCAAGAGGCAACTGGACTTTCTGATTTTTCTTTGAAGACGTTTCGCTTCTCATCCAAGAAGTTTCTTGGATGGCCTTCAGGAGAGCTGAAGAAGCTTCTTGGATGGCCTTCAGGAGAGCTGAAGAAGCTTCTTGGATGGCCTTCAGGAGAGCTGAAGAAGCTTCTTGGATGGCCTTCAGGAGAGCTGAAGAAGCTTCTTGGATGGCCTTCCGGAGAGCTGAAGAAGCTGATG